GGTATTCACACAGTCTCAAATTATCATCCCATAGCTTACTTATTAATTTTTTTTTTTTTTTTTTTTTTTTTTTTTTTTTTTTTTTTTTTTCCGTGCCCAAAAAAGAAAAAAAAAAAAAAAAAAAAAAAAAAAAAAAAAAAAAAAAAAAAAAATTAATAAGTAATCTATGGGATGATAGTTTGAGACTGTGTGAATACCCTGTTTCCCAATAGTCTTTTGTTTTGTGGTTTAGTATCCATTGATGGTTTTTGCCTGAAAATGCTGACTTTCTATTTCTTTTATACTTTTCAATTTACTAGTTGGTATTCTGTAAAGAAGAGCTTTTCTTTCTCCCTGCTCATCCCTTCTTAAAAAATAATTAAGTGTCAGTATAGATTTTTTTATTCAATGTGTTACCAAACATTCCTTCATTCATTTTGATGCTCAGATTTTCCCAGACTTGGACAGTAGGTTTAATTCTGTTTTAATGTCTTAAAAGATTGACACTTTCACCATTCTCCTCACTATATTTTCATGCATCAGTGAATTTAATACTGGGATACAGACTATGATTTCAGCATTCTTAGTGAGTAAAAAAACCTTCCTAGATAGTAGTTCGTAAGGTTAAAAAATAAATAAAATTTATATTATGGTTAAATCAAGTTTAGTTCTATATAGACTTTGTATAGAAGTCATTTGTAGTATAAATTTTTCTGGGGTGTGTATAGGGTGGGATGGGTGATGTGGGTAGGGATAGAGAAAGTCTAATTCTTGTGTGCAGTAAACTTCACCAGACTGAACATTGGTAAAGTGAAATTTGTGATATCACTCAGAAATCATAAACTTGGTATTTGAATAAATAATTAAAATTTCTTATACTTTTGATGGAAATCTAGTCTAGAATCAGTATATTCTTCGAAAAATGAAGTATTATTCTACTGTCCTTCAGTGTTATAGTGTTACAGTTTTTATATGTGTAATTTCATGTATTAAGACTATACGTCATTACTAATCTATTTATTTTCTTGTCCATAACTAATTAGGCATTGCCTTTAGTCTGGAGCAGTGGTTCTCAAAGTGTGGTCCCAGGACCAGTAGCATTAGTGTCATCTGGGAGTTTATTAGAAATACAAATTCTTGGGCTCCACTCCAGACCTACCTATTGAATCAGAAACCTGGGGTGGGGCCCAGTGCTCTGTGTTCTAACAGGCCCTCTGGGTAATTCAAATGCATGTTCAAGTTTGGACACTGGCTTAGAGCCTGTACTTGGGAAGTCTAGATTCAGCCCATTTGTGGGTCAGTTATGTTTGTTCTGGATCTTGTTAATTCGTTCAAGGAATTTTTTGGGGGGGCGGGGGGAGGCAGCTGGTCAGTATGGGAATCTGAGCCCTTGACCTTGGTGTTATAACACTGTGCTCTAACCAGTTGAACAAACTTGCTAGCCCCATTCAAGGAATATTTATTGGACATCTATCTGCCCGGTATTCTTTGTGTGTTAGATTAGATTTGCAACACCAGCTATGTGTTTTGTTATATACAGTCTATTGATAACAAAAGGGACCAACCAAGTAAGAATATGACTGATCATATATGATCCCATCACTGCCACTGGAAAAACAATCTAAAGAATAAACTTTCTTATTTTGTTTTTTATATTATCATATTTTTAGGACTATGTGACAATTATGAATTACCATATTCTATCCATTCCAAGACACTTTTTTTCACATTAAAAAACTTTTATTTTGGAGATCTTTTTCACATTTTAACAATTCTGCTATCAAGATGCATCTCATGATCACTGTTGGCGAGGTGACAATCATGAAGTTGCCTGTGCCTACAAATGAGCATCAAAATTTGCAGAATGGATGTCAGTAACTTGGAATAAAATTGTGAAGACAGTAGTGGGATGAAGGACTCTTTTAAGAAATGTTGCATTGGGTTGGCCTGGTGGTGCACTCGGTAGAGTGCAGCGCTTGGGAGCACGGCGGCGCTCCCGCTGAGGGTTCGGATCCCATATAGAGACCGGTCCGCTCACTGGTTGAGCGCGGTGCGGGCGTGACACCAAGGGTTGTGATCCTGTTGCCGGTCGCGGTGCGGGCGCGACACTGAGGGTTGCGATCCCGTTACCGGTCATGAAAAAAGACCAAAAAAAAAAGAAGAAATGTTGCATTACTTGGGTTCTTGGTGGCACAGTAGATGATGCATCATGGAAAAACATGGATATCAGTAATGGTGTTAAAATGTTTCAGAAGAATTGGACTCAATGTGAAGTTTTAAGAATTCTTTATCCCATTTATTTAGCTTATATAAAGAATAATATATAATAAACCTATATGTCTAAATAAGTCTAAAGAGCTCTTTTAATACTTTTTTTTTTTTTCTTTAAAAGATGACGGGTAAGGGGATCTTAACCCTTGACTTGGTGTTGTCAGCACCACGCTCACCCAGTGAGCAGCTGGCCATCCCTATATGGGATCTGAACCTGTGGCCTTGGTGTTATCAGCACCACACTCTCCCGAGTGAGCCACAGGCCAGCCCCTCTTTTAATACTTTTTAAAAAACCTACTTTAAAACTATTTAAAGGGAAATTTTCAAATACATGCCTACACAGATTGTATAATGAACTCCTGTGTACCTATCACCTAGACACAACTGTCAATTCTATGCCGTTTTCATTTCATTTAATCCCCAATTTTCATTCAGTAAACTTAAAATTAAAATTCTAAGTGATAATGTTTCATAGGTCAATTGGCAGTGGTTTATTTCTTTCTTAGTAATACATAAAATAACAATTGGTGTTTATAATCAACGGCATCATAGATTTCATGAAATGTTGTGTATGAATGGCACCATATTGTGCAGTGGTAACCATGTCGATTTTCTCATCTTAGCTGTACTTACCAAATCATCTTTCTGGTAAAACTTTCTTCCGTAGGCTTAGTGTCTTCTATTCAGTGAGGTGCTGAGTGGATAATTTTGTTTTTTGTTCTTTAGAGATTCCAGAGAGTGACCTGGTGCCTGGGACCATTTTGGTAACAGAAGAAGAATTTAGTAGATGTATTGAGGATGTGTTTAAGGTTGGTAATTAAAGTCACTAATATTTTTAGCTAATGTTTGTACTTAGTCTTTTTTTTTTTTCCTTTTTGTCTTTTTTACTGACCGGTAACGGGATTGCAACCCTCAGTGTTGCGCCCATACCAGGGACCGGCAATGGGATCGCAACCCTCGGCGTTGCACCCACACCGCGCTCAGCCAGTGAGCGGGAACCGGTCTCCACATGGGATCCAAACCCTCGGTGGGAGCGCCGCCGCACTCCCAAGCGGCGCAGTCTCCAGTGCACCACCAGGCCGGCCCTGTACTTAGTCTTTTAAAGTAATTTTGCCTTTTAATTGGTTTTTCCAAAGTTGGAATAACTAATCTTAAACTCTAAACCATCAAAATTGTTTCACTTTGAAAACTGGAAACTACAAGCTGACATTTAGTGGGAAAAGTGATATAATTTGAAGCCCTGTTAATTTTATTATTTACTCTGAATGTTAAAACAGTTTAGATTCTCTAACTGGCACATACCTCTGATGAAAGCATGTCTTTTGAAGAAACTGACAGAGGCATTTTCAATGTTGTAGGCTTCCTAAAAGTGAATCTACTTTATAACTTTTGGTGGTAATCACCATCATAAAGAAGTAAGGCTGAATAAATGAATCCTGCAAATGACTGTCTAAATATATAATGAAAATGAAAACAAGAATATGAATTGGGGCCGGCCCGGTGGCGCACTGGAGACTGCGCCGCTTGGGAGTGCAGCGGCGCTCCCGCTGAGGGTTCGGATCCCATGTGGAGACCGGTTCCCGCTCACTGGCTGAGTGTGGTGCGGGCGCAGCGCCGAGGGTTGCGATCCCGTTGCCGGTCCCCGGTGCGGGCGCAACACCGAGGGTTGCGATCCCGTTACCGGTCAGTAAAAAAGACAAAAAGGAAAAAAAAAAAAGACTATTATATCACTTTTCCCACTAAATGTCATTATATCACTTTTCCCACTAAATGTCAGGGTTGCGATCCCGTTACCGGTCAGTAAAAAAGACAAAAAGGAAAAAAAAAAAGAATATGAATTGTATGTTCTTTATTATTATAATCTTATAAATATATATAAAAAATATATTTGTAGACAGAAATGAAATCCTATTGTGTTAGGCCAGATGGATTTGGGTTAAGTTTTTTTTATAGTTTATTTCAATATATTTATAATAATATTTTACTATTTAAAATATTTACACTAGTAAACAGCTTTCAAAATTATATTCCATATAAAAAGGTACAATTGCTTTGGAAAATAGTTTGGCAATTCCTCAAAAAGTTTAAAACATGGAGTTACATATGACCCAACAATTCCACTCCTATATACCCAGGGGAAATGAAAACATGTTCACATGAAAACCTATACATGAACGTTCGTAGCATTATTATTCATATTGTAGTATTGTTACGCATGATTTTAAATTTTGTTTAAATGGCATTGTAGTATAATTCTGATTCATTCATTTCACTGCTAGATGTTATTTCATTGTGCGATATATCAGCACTTACCTGTTTGTTTTTCTATTGATAGACATTTAAGTTGTTTCCAGGGAATTTTTGCCAATCTGTTGGGTGCATTATGGTTTTAATTAGCTTTTTTCTTATCACTGGTGAGGTTGAAAATCTTATTATGTTTTTTGTTTATTCATGTTTTTTCTTCTGTAAATTGTTTAAGTATTTTGCCCCTTTAAAATATTCGGTTATTTGCCTCTTTAAAAAAATTTTAGGGTAAGTCTCTTTTTATAAAATAGCTTTATTGAGGTACATTTTGCATACCATAAAATCATCTGTTTTAAATTCAAAGATTTTTAGTAAGTTTATAGATATTTGAAACAGCTACCACAATACAGCTTTAGAACATTTCCTTTATCCCAAACGATCCCTTGTGCCATTTAGTTATTCCTCATTTCTACTCCTAGTCCCAACCGCTAATATGCAGAGAGCTTCTATGCCTCCACAGATTTGTTTTTTGGGCATATTTTATATCAAGGAATCACGCAATAGGTGTTCTTTTGCATCTGGCTTCTGTCATTTAGCATAATATTTCTGATGTTCATCTAGGTTGTTGCAGGTATTAGTGTTTTGTTCCTTTTTATTGCTAAATAATATTTCATTGGTTGACTATAACGCATTTTGTTGGGTTTTTTTTGGCAGCTGTCTGGTATGGGGATTTGACCTCATGACCTTGGTGTTATATACCACATTCTGTTTATCCATTTATCAGTTGATGGAAATTTGGATATAGAATAAATCTTTTTTTTAACAGCTTTATTGAAATATAATTCATATAACATACAATTCACCCATTTAAAATGTACAAATCAATGCCTTTTTTATATATTCATAGGTTTGTACAACCATTCTCAGAAACAGTTTTTTAAATTAATTAATTAATTTATTTATGCATTTATTCATTTATTTATTGGTGTTTGGCCAGTAGGAACCCCTGACCTCGATGCTATCAGCACCATGTTTTACCAGCTGAACTAACCAGCCAGCCCCACAGTCAGTTTTAGAGCATTTCATTACCCAAAAAGAAACTTCCTCACATTACTTAGCTGTCATTCCTGAATCCTTCTACTACCACTCCCCTCCCCTAGCCCTAGGCAACCACTAATCTACTTTCAGTTTCTATAGAGTTGCCTATTCTGAACATTTCATATAAATGGAATCATACAATATGTGGTCTTTCATGATTGGTTCCTTTCAGTTAGCATGATGTTTTTAAGGTTTATTCATATTCATATTGTATATGTGTATGTATACATGTATATGTATATGTATACAATATTCATATTGTAGCATAAATCAGTATGACATTCCTTTTTATTCTCAAATAATATTCCATTGTATTAACATACTGCATTTTGTTTATCCATTCATCCCTTGACGGACCTTTGGGTTGTTTCCATGTTCTGGCTATTATGAATAATGCTGCTATGGATCTTCATGTACAAGTTATTATGTGTATGTATGTTTTCATTTTTCTTGGAATTCCTGGAATTGCTAGATCATATGGTGACCCCATGTTTAACTGTCTGAGGTACTGCCAAACAGTTTTCCATAGTGGCTACATCATTTTATATTCCCACCAGCAGTGTAAGAGGGTGTAGAATGAATCTGAAGTCATGTTCTTTCACATAAGAAAGCAGATCCTTTTTGTTTTAAGTTTTCTATATGATACTAATAAATTAGATATAAAATGCATGTTTAAAAATTCAAAACTTGAGGGCCGGCCCGCGGCTTACTTGGGAGAGTGTGGTGTTGATAACACCAAGGCCACAGGTTCGGATCCCTGTATAGGGATGGCTGGTTAGCTCACTTGGGAGAGTGTGGTGTCGACAACACCAAGTCAAGGGTTAAGATCCCCTTGCTGGTCATCTTTAAAAAAAAAAAAAAAATTCAAAACTTGTTCTCTGCAGCACTCACTTTATTGTAAAAGTGAAATGTTTACTACCCTTTATTTAATTTCACTATTTAAAAAAACAAGAGTATACCCTTTACAGGGCACACAAATATGGAATTAAATTGCTCATAGATAAAACATGTCATGATGACTTAGTGAAAATCATGCTGTTTTTATTTTTAATGCTTTACTTACAGACTCCTGAAAAGTTGGGTCTTATATCCTGTTCTAAATATTGTTAGGCAAGGATTTTTCAGATTTTGGAAAGACAAGAAATTATATAGAGCAGTCTAGAAAGCAAATATTTTTAATTAGAGAACAAGGCCCCATTAACTTTCAGAAAGACCATCTTTAGTCATATCCCATCTAAGGAATATCGTGATAGAAAACTTAAATGGTTGGGTGTGGAATGTCAGAAAGACTGAAAGTACCGTCAGGGCAGGGGGAGGACTAATTGTGACTAAACTTTGGTACAGACTCCTCATAGTTAGTATTCCTTGGAAATCAATAAACTGTCTTTACAGGAAAAAGAAAGCAAAACAGAGAATTTCTTTCTGGCAAGAGAATTAGCCTCTAAAAAACAGAGAGAACTGGTAACAGTGAATCCTGCCGTTTCTCCTATTCTTGACTTCTAAAATGGGGAAACCCCTTGTAGTATTGTGAACAATTTGGTAAATTTAAAACCTCCTGGAGAGGCAAGCAAACCAACCGTTAGTTTGCTGTAGACACTTGATTATGCACCAAGGATTGGGACTGTCGGGGAACAAGGAGGGGTGTAGAAGGGTAATTATTCTCTCTGCAAGGTTTCAGCAGCTCAGCTGTAGTTGCAAAACAGGAAATGTGTATGTTGGAGGAAAATGGTAAACACTGTATAAAATTTAGCAACAAAGGATATGTTGTCTTTATTAACTTTCTGCTAATACTAAATTATAGAGTCCAGCTCAAAGGCAGGAAATAAGGAAATCCTCTGGGATGGGTGAACAGCAACTCACAGGGTAACAAGGGGGTGTTTAATTTTAGAAAGGCATTTGGGAACACTTCCAGCTCTGGTTTTTTTGTTTGTTTGTTTGTTTGTTTTTTCTCTTTTTTTCTTCCTATTAACAGGTTTGTTGAGATAAAATTCACATAAAAATACAGTCTGCTGGGCCAGCCTGTGGCTCACTCGGTAGAGTGCGGTGCTGATAGCACCAAGGCTGCGGGTTCGGATCCCATATAGGGATGGCCGGTTTGCTCACTGGCTGAGCGTGGTGCTGACAGCACCAAGCCAAGGGTTGAGATCCCCTTACCGGTCATCCTTAAAAAAAAAAAAAAAAAAAAAAATACAGTCTGCCCATTTAAAGTGTACAATTTAGTGCTTTTTGGTATATTGATAGGGTTGTGCAACCATCAGAACAGTCTAATTTTAGAATATTTTTGTCCCCCCTAAGAGAAACCTTATTTCCATTAGCTGTCATTCCCCATTCTCTACACCTTGCCCCCCGCCCTAGGTAACCACTGATCTACTTTGTCTCTATAGACTTGCCTATTCTGGACATTTTATATAAATGAAATTATACAATATGTGATCTTAGCATGATGTTTTTAAGGTTCATCCATATT